AATTTATGTGACCGAGGCACCTGATGTTCATAAACTTTCATAACTGGTAAGTGTTTTTTCTTTTGCCTTGTGATCTGGCCGAGCCTTAATGATTCTGTTTCTTTACATGTATTTGTTTACTGACCGTTGCATGCAATCGTACGGAGCCCGGGAAGTCACCTGTAGGAGAAAAAAAAACTATCCGTGGCGACGGTTTTGCAATCCGTCCCCTCAATTTATAAACCGTACTCACGAATTCTTAAACTGTTCCCTCGGTTTAACAAATCGTGCCCACGGATTAATAAACCGTACCCACGAATTTCCAATACGTGCGCTCAGCTTTTGTAAACCGTACCTTCGGTTTTTCGGTTTTGCTTTCGCAATCCGTTCCCTCGGGTTTGTAAACTGTACTCACGGATTCATGCAGTAAGCTCATAGGTAGCCTATATGTTAACAAATCATATTGTATATTGTTTTATTGCATATTATTATGTGGAATAGGCCTACAGCAAATAGTCTTAAGTGATTCCGTGTTTGTGTACTATTCATTCGTAACATACTATTCATTCATTCACAGACGTATTTAGGTGATTTTATTATACTAAGCTTTTCCCCCCAGAGTTAGATGCATGCTTCACTGTTAAAGATATTATTAAATAACTAGGCCTATTATAACATTGCATTCAGTTAGAGAGCAAAGGAATGACAACATAACCGGTACATTATTGGTTGTGTATTGCTTTTTACCTTCTTCTCTCGAAACTCTATCGTTTTTTTTTTTCTGGAGGTTTTTCAGGAAATTTTCTATTCTTCTTTTTAGCTTTTATTTTAGGCTATAAAACACAGGCAGGGGTGTTTTATCCTATTGGTGATTAATATAAAATAAACGCTAAAAAGAAGACTATTTTGTGAGTGCAGATCATAGTCTCATACTATGAAAAATAATGTTTAATAAACACAATACTATGCATCCCGCACCGTGGTTGAATCTGCCGGTGGGGGCGGGGCCACAAATCCAAGAGTTTACAAACGTCCGAACTGGTCGTGTATCCCTGTGGACACAGGTTATGGGGAGGAAGGCTTTATATTCCGTTCGGGGGGTGAGAATCTGCGACTGGACCAGAGTGACCGCACTGCCCGATTCCAGGATGGCCCGGAACGGCTTTCCATTCACTTTCACTTCCACCTCTGGAGCTCCAACCGGCAGGTCATAGTGCACAATGCAGCTGGCCAGCCAGGTCCGTGCGGGACGTGCGGGGACATCCATTGGCATGGGCTCATCCCGCGGAGAGGGAGCCGCCGCCGGCCTGCCTACTGGTCGCGGGGTGCACTCCGACACGCGCCGCTCCTGGACCACCCTCCAGGGAAATGGTGGTGCTCGCTCCCCAGCATCCAGGCGTTGGGCCGCATCCGCCAGCTCGACAGCCTCCACCAGCTTGGAGGTGGTGGTTGGGTTCCTCATCCCCACTGCTTGTCGGTGGGATCGGGGAAGGGCTCGGAGGAGACGGTCAATCACCATGCGCTCCGCCACCTGTCCAGCCGATGGAGCCCCCTCCAGCAGCCAGTGCTGCGCAAGTCATGTGAGTTTGGCGGCCTGGGCACGGGCTGGCAGACGGGGCTTATACTCCCACTCGGAACGCATTGAGCGGCGGCGGCACGCAGTGCTGCGAGTTCCTGCTCCGTTTCTCCTTGACGGGTGACGAGGTGCTCAACTATTTGTTGCTGGCGGATGCTAACCTCGGTGAGCCGCTGGAGGATTTTGTCCATGGTGGGGGAGGAGCGCTCGCCTGTGACAGAACCCGGAGACAAAAACAAGGGGAAAAAAGGTGAGGTGAAGAAGATCGCTTCTAGAATCACACAACAAGTAATCTCAATCAATACCCCGGAGGGTGGATTTATTGGGGTGACGGGTGCTAGTGAGAAAGGTCCAGGTAAGTGCTCCGGTGCCATGAGTGCTCTCTTCCTGTCTGTTGCTCCTCGCTTGTTTCCAGGGCGACGCTGATGAAGCTTCGGGACGCTCGTCACAATATATATATATATATATATATATATATATATATTTATTTTATTTTTTTTACCAAGTTCAAGATTGACGATGATTTCCACAAAACTGTATTTTCTGGAAGCTTTTTTCAAGATTTTTTTTTCCAATCTCAAAATGTATGTATACAATGCAACAACAAAAACTGCGAGGAAAAAATAATGTTACATTTGTTTAGAGCATTTTCTATACATTTATAAATAACTACAAGTCAAGCTGCAATACCAAACAGGACCACACGGAGATGCCAACAGACCACTATACCAGCCTAGAGCCCTGCACGGGTCTCAAATATAGGGCCTATCCTGGCTCTGGCCCGAGATGCTCAGGTCCTAGCCCGGCCCTTGTCCGACAGCTTATCAGAATTACCGACCCGAGCCCGTCTTTTTTCCCCCCTTCTCCCAAAACAGCTTACTACTGTTTCCGCTATTAAAAGAGTTCAGTTTTGTATGTAATGTCAAAGTGATTATATTTTGTTTCTTATTTTTATTAAGTTAATTTTGAAAAACGTTTGGGGCATTTTTTTTTTTGTTCGTTAAATGCAAGTCTTTGTTTTTTTTTAATTGCGGCCAGCGGCAGCCTATGTATGATCAATTTAGCCTTCTCAAATGATCATGACTTAATATAAATAAATTAAACTTAATAAAATCTATAGATATAAAATAGTTCAAGCATATTACAATGTAAGTTTAAATGTTTAACCTATATAAATGTACATGGCCTATTTCTCTCAAATATTGTTCACAAATCTGACAAAATCTGTGTTAGTGAGCACTTCTCCTTTGCCGAAATAATCCATCCACCTCACAGGTGTGGCATATCAAGATGCTGATTAGACAGCATGGTTATTGCACAGGTGTGCCTTAGGCTGGCCACAATAAAAGGCCACTCTAAAATGTGGTCCGGGGGGGGGGGTCCGAAAACCAGTCAGTATCTGGTGTGACCACCATTTTCCTCACGCAGTGCAACACATCTCCTTCGCATAGAGTTAATCAGGTTGATGATTGTGGCCGGTGGAATGTTGGTCCACTCCTCTTCAATGGCTGTGCAAAGTTGCTGGATATTGGGAGGAACTGGAACAAGCTGTTGTATACGCCGATCCAGAGCATCCCAAACATGCTCAATGGGTGATGTCCGGTAAGTATGCTGGCCATGCAAGAACTGGGATGTTTTCAGCTTCCAGGAATTGTGTACAGATCCTTGCAACATGGGGCCGTGCATTATCATGCTGCAACATGAGGTGATGGTCGTGGATGAATGGCAAAACAATGGGACTCAGGATCTTTAGTGTAAATAGCCTCTGCCTAATAAAAATAGGTATTAAAAGCTCCATATTTGAAATAAAGAATAAAGCTCATTCATGTGCACATAATCTTTCAGTAAAATATTTTTAAGTGAAATCTGCACACATTCTGACATGGATATGCATATTATTTTGATGTAATTGTAATGTGAAGAAGAACACTGAATGATTGCTTAATATGTCCAAAGAACTCATTAAGAATGTATCTTAAAAAAGTAAATGTTTAAATGAGTGACATGTTTTGCTTATAATTTCCACAGATTCAGAATGTTTATATAATCAGCAAAAAATCTGTATTATGTATCATTACACAAGTATTCACACATTTGAGCATTGCTGCCTTTCCAGAGTTGTCTTTGTCTTCTGTTTCCAGTCTTACCATACACAACTTGAGATAGTTTTGAGTCAAAAACTTTTTAATTTCTATTTGTTATACCACTAACCTAGTATTATGCTATTGCTATGGGAACCAATGATGCATGTATTTTGGAAAAACTGTATGAACCAACTAATAACAATGAAACAACTGAAAAAAAAAATTTTTTTTGGAAAACAAAAAGCTAATATGTGTCCTTGATCATCTTGTTATTTTTTTTCAGAACCAAATGTATGTAGCAGATCTGAAAAACAAAAGATCTTGGTGATTTGTGGATGTGATACAACACTTAAAACCTCAATGTCAAAACTATTAATGAGGAAAAACACACTCATATTAGCACAAGAGTCTCGATCAGTGCGTGTGTGGAGTGACGTGGAGCTTCATGGTCATCTGATCAGTCTGATAAAGCTTCCAGCTCTCAGTCGGCTCTCAGAGGAGGAAGTGATGCGTCAGACTCTCCGCTGTGCGTCTCTCTTTCATCCTGGAGTTCATGTTTTCCTCCTCGTTATGCCTGATGCCCCACTGACTGATGAGAGCAAAGAAGAAATAGAGAAGATCCAGAAGATATTTGATTCCAGAGAACATTTCATACTGCTCTTCCCCTCCAATCTCTCTGTTGAAGAACATGTGAAAGAGTCCATAAAATCCATCTTAGAAACTAAGAGCTTAATCAACCTCTATGGTGATCAGTACAGAGTGATGGGGTTAAATGAGCATGAAAACTCCAGACAGATCCCAGAACTACTAGATTATATAGAGAACATGCAGGTGGAACCATATTCACTTCAGATGTATGTGAAAGCCCAAGAGAACAGAGTCAGACATGAACTAGAGGAACAACATAAGAAAGAAATGAGTGAAATGGAGAATAAAATCAAAGAGTTAAAACAAAATATTGAGTCAGAGGGTAAGTAAATTATTCTCTTAAAATCTCCTTTATTTGGTTTCCATTTGATTGAACAAATACATTCAGAAATAATATCTAAACACATGTAGTAACAGATTATGTTTCTGTTGTTTAAGGAAGCATAAATGTTAAAAGAAAAAAGATGATGAATTTGGTGCTGTGTGGAAGTGATGAAACACTGAAGACGTCTATATCCAAACTTATAAGACAGAAGAAAGACAAGCTTCATTGTCGTCAGATCAGTCTGGTGGAGCTTCCAGCTCTCAATCAGCTCTCAGAGAAAGAAGTGATGCATCAGACTCTCCGCTGTGTGTCGCTCTGTGATCCTGGAGTTCATGCTTTCCTCCTCGTTATTCCTGATGGTCCTCTTATGGATGGAGACAAAGCAGAAATGGAGGAGATTCAGAAGATATTCAGCTCAAGAATAAAAAACCACTGCATTGTCCTCAAAATCAAAGAGAATAATCGGTTTAGTAAACTGATTAATAAAATCAATCCATTTCATTGCTCAGATACTGAGCCTGGGACATCTATCCAAACATTTGGAGATCATTGTATTGTTTTGGAGAACTGCTTACAGGTTCCAGATCTACTGCAGGATGTGGAGAATATAGTGAAACAAAACAATGGAGGCTGCTACTCAACCATCATGTACCTTCAGGCTCAAGTAGAACTGGAGAGAAACAAACACAAAGCTAAAATAGAGGAGCTGAGAAGATCTATGATAAAAACAAACGGTATGTGTTCAACAGTGTGTTTTCTATAACCTGTCAGTATTAAAATTTCATTAATAATTTCATGAATATTTTTTGTTCATTATGTTAATTTTAAAACTTTGCGACAATGGTGTAATTCCTTACATAAATCAAAAAGTGGAAGATTATAATGACACTACACAGTACTAATTTTACTAACAGTACAAAACAAATAACTTTTAATATCAGACAAGAGGATTTGGAGTGAAATTCCTTTTGATGAATATCATTATAAAACTTTTTTTTCAACTGCTTACATTTTCAAAATCTTGCCTCTTTTTTTAAGCTTTAGACACAAATCCAAGAATTGCACACACAAAATGCAAAATGCCTCACATCTCTTGCAAAATGAAGCACTGCATTCAAAATATGTGACCCTGGAGCACAAAACCAGTCATAAGGTTATTTAAACATAATCTGAAAGATGAATAAATAAGTTTTCCATTGATGTATGGTTTGTTAGGATAGCACAATATTTGGTCGAGATACAACTATTTGAAAATCTGGAATCTGAGGGTGCAAAAAAATCAAAATATTGAGAAAATCTCTTTAAAGTTGTCCAAATGAAGTTCTTAGCAATGCATATTACTAATCAAAAATTAAGTTTTGATATATTTACGGTAGGAAATTTACTAAATATCTTCATGGAACATGATCTTTACTTACTATCCTAATGATTTGGCATAAAAGAAAAAAATATATAAATTTTGATCCATACAATGTATTGTTGGCTATTGCTACAAATATACCTGTGCTACTTATGACTGGTTTTGTGGTCCAGGGTCACATATTACACATCTCAAAAGCAAAGATGTGTCTTATGTTGCAAACACCTTTGCCATAATATTATATTTTTGGATATATCATATACACACAGTTGTTCAAAACCTAAAGCTTTTCTTTCCCATGAGCTCCTGTGTACATTTCTGTACAAGATCAAAAGTAATTGGCATGTTGATTTAGAGTCTGGATTAGATTGATTGGAGATGTTGAAAAATTCATGGTAAACACGAAAAAAAAATCCTGTAAGCATTTATGGTATCAATACAGTATTACACAGTACGAAAGAAAAGAAATACATCAAGCATGTGTAGTTGTGTAGATGTGGGTTTATAGGCCTATTCTTCTAAAGCCATGATTGGTTGGTGTTCAGTAAAGCACATGTGAGGAGTTAATGTGAGGCACTGATGAATTAGTGTGGCCTTTTGATTGGTTGTGTTTGAAAAAGGAAATCAAGATACTTCTTGTTAGATTTTTGTGTGTTACAGAGAACTGTGTTGTGTTTTGCAAAAAGTTTTTTATGATTTGGTGTGTGGCTCTGGTGTTTGAGTGTCAGGTTTCAGAAACTGTGTGACAAGTAAAGATTTTGTGTTTAAGCAAAACTGTAATTGTCTTGCTTGTGTTGTCAGCAGGTGTACCACAAAATTATGATGATGATGATGGTAATGAAGTGAGGATTGTGATGCTAGGAAGGACAGGTGTTGGGAAAAGTGCAACAGGAAACACCATACTGAGAAAAGAAGCTTTTAAATCAATACTGACTCCATCGTCGGTGACCAGAGAGTGTGACAAAGAGATCTCCGAGTTCAACAGAAGACAGATAACGGTGATCGACACTCCAGGCCTGTTTGATACTGGAGTTGATAATGTTGAGAGCAGGAAGGAGATTGTGAAGTGCGTCTCAATGGCAGCACCAGGTCCACATGTGTTTCTGCTGGTGATTCAACTGGGACGATTTACTCAAGAGGAGAAAGATGCAGTGAAGATGATCCAGGGGATGTTTGGAGAAAGATCCAGAATGTACACCATGGTGCTTTTCACCAGAGGAGATGAACTTGAAACAACAATTCAGGATTTTATTGAAGCTAATGATAGCTTACAGAACCTTGTCCAGCAGTGTGGTAAGAAATATCACGTGTTCAATAACAAAGCCACTAAAGATCAGATGCAGGTTTCTGAGCTGCTGGATAAGATTGACTGTATGGTGTCAGTGAATGGACGGAGTTTCTACACAAATGAGATGTTCCAGCAGGTGGAGAAGAACATCAAAGAGGAACAAGAGAGAATCATGAAAGAGAAAGAAGAAGAGATCAAGAGAAAAGAAGAAGAGCTGAGAGCCAAATATGAAGCAGAAATTGAACAAATGAAGAAAGAAAATGAGAGAGAAAAAGAAGAGATGCAGAATAAACTGAGAAAAAATGAAAAGTTGTTTAAAAAGAGAGAAGAAGAGATAAAGAAAGAAACAGATGAGAATGTGCGAAAAGAACTTCAGAGAAAACTGGAGGAGCAGCAGCAGAAAGAATTTGAAGAGAATAAAAGAAAAGAAAAATCTTTAGCAGAACAACCGCAACACTTCATAAAATATCTGGAAGAAAGACATGAGAAAGAAAAACAAAAACTCCAGGAGAAAATTCAGCGTGAAACTAGAGAACAAGCAGAGCTTGAATACTGTGAAAAACTTAAGAAAGAATTGGATAAAGCTTTACAAGAAGCTGAAATAAAATACAAGGCAGAACAGGCTAAAGCTTTAAAAGAAGTTAAAGAAAAATATGAGACAGAACAGGCTAAAGCCTTAAAAGAAGTTAAAGAAAAATATGAAACAGAACAGGTTAAAGCTTTGCAAGAAGCTGAAGAAAAATACAAGACAGAACAGGCTACAGCTTTACAAGACGTTAAAGAAAAATATAAGACAGAAGTGGCTAAACTTTTTCAAGAGGTTAAACAAAAACATGAGACAGAAGTGAATAAAGCATTACAAGAAGCTAAAGAAAAACACGAGTCAGAAAAGGCTAAAGCTTTACAACAAAATGAAGACAAATACAATACAAAAGTGGCTACAATTTTACAACTGGCTAAAAAAAACCAAGATATAGAAGTGGCTAAAGCAATTCAAGAAGCTAAAGAAAAGCATGAGAAAGAAAAAGCTAATGTTTTACAAGCAGCTGAAGAAAAACACTACAGAGAAAGGGTTATAGTTTTACAAGAAACTGAAGAGAAATACAAGAAAGAAAAGGATGAAGCTTTACATGAAGCTGAAGAAAAACACAAGAAACAAAAGGATGATGCTTTACATGTAGTTGAAGAAAAACACTACAGAGAAAGAGCCAAGGTTTTACAAGAAACTAAAGAGAAATTCACAAAAGAAAAAGATGAAGCTTTACATGAAGTTGAAGAAAAACACAAGAAAGAAAAGGCTGAAGCTGAAGCAAATCTGTCATACAGAGTAAAACGAGCTCGGGACTGGAGTCACAGTGTTCCTTTTGTTGGAGGAGCTTTTGGAGGTATTTTTGGTACTTTTGAAGACATATTCAGATAATATGTTCTGTCAAGCTCTAGATGGAACTAAAAGGTGCATTAAAGTAAATTGGGACAAAGTAAGTAGTGTTCGATCAGCCATCTTACTATTCCCTACCGTCAGAGAGCATAATTAACTGACAGCCAAAACACTGATCGAAAATCACCCGATTTGAAGCGAACCAGTCAAACAGGATTAGTTTTTAAGATATGCGTGTGTAAATTAAATTTTACTTCAGATGTTATCTGCAATTATTATGGTCTTTTCAGGCATGATAAGCGATATATTGAAATCATTTAGGTGGGTGTGTCTGATATACACTGACAACACAGGTAACTCATCCAACACAAAATATATTTATGTACGTAATTATGCAGAAAACATTAAACATGAACATATATCTGGCATTAGTATCAGAAATTGATTTGAATATAAAATAAATATTATAATACAAGCCTATGTTACTATGTTGCTCTACATTGTATTGAAATTCAAAGCTTACCATACATCACCTTGGAAATTAAGCTTCATGTCTTTAAGTCTGTACCGTATGGAGTCAGCATTATTACTCTGAATCACTGGTCTCAAACGCAATTCCTGGAGGTCCACAGCTCTGCACAGTTTAGCTCCAATCCTAATCAAACACACCTGATCCAGCTAATAGCAGTTGTGATTTGGAGTAGAGGCTGACATTTTTTCGTGAATCCCGCGGGTCACGGGAATCCCGTGGGATGAGAAACAAAAGGCTTGTTTGAGTTTGAGGTATTGGCACAGTGGTTAACCAGAAAATTAAAAAATGGCACGTCATGCTGAAAAGGTTGCCGACCCCTGTCCTAACCTCTTTACTCCTATACCACTGCTGTAATCATCCAGCACTCCCACGTCCTGTAGAGTAAGCGGCATGGAAGACGGACGGATATGGACCTCAGTAATCAGTACTAAATCATGTCTTGTTTTAAACTATTGTTTAATCATTAAAGATAATCAGAGCACATTTAGGCCCAATCCCAATTCTACTCCTTAGCCCTTCCCCTTTCCCCTACCCCTCCGTTTCGCGCATTCACTTGAAGGGGTAGGGGTGTCTCGATTCTCTTTTGGTTGGAGGGGTAAGGGGAAGGGCCAGACAGCCCTTCAAACGAAGATTTTTCGGGACCACGCTTCAAACGAAGGGATATGAATTATCTCAGCGTAAACCGGCTTCAGCGGCAACATGGCTGCCCGAGCGAACAAAAAGATACATAAATGTAAGCATGTTTGGCATTAATAAAGTTTATAATGAAAAGTAATAATTAGTTTTATGTTGCATTCAATCGCGAGTTCATATTACGGTCATGTTACTCAAAGAAATGTTTGCAAAAAATCGCTAATATTTGCTAACTAATGTCATATCATTACAGACTGCACGATAGTGCCACAACATATGTTCATGTCTGAGCAGGGCGATAACCACCATAGACATTGAGGGGGGCTAGTTCCCCCAATAATTATAAATCGCTAAACCCTTTTCTCAAATATCGCCAATTCGAGAGAGAGAGAGAGAGAGAGAGAGAGATGAAAGTTGCGTGTATGCACGTCTGTGCATTTCTCTTTTTAGAGTGAGTTTACTTCAAAAAACAGCGATTATATCCTCTCGTTGCTGGAAAAATATAATGTAGCGATTCAGTATTTAAACTGTTATTAATAAAAGTCATGGGGCAGCGTTGACAAGTTTCTTTTCTCCTGGATGTGTGACCTGCATCCTGTATTAGCTAGCACACGTATGATGACGTGTGACGTATAGTAGTGGTGTCCCAATTCTTAGGGGAATATTTTCACCCCTACCTCTTGACACTCTGTTTCAAGGGACAAGAGGCGTAGGCGGAGGGGTAGGGGAAGGGGTATCAAATAGAATTGGGATTGGGCCTTAACCATCATAAGGAGAATTAATTGAGATTGAATTATCCGTTCTTTATTATAACTACCATGTGACATATAATAACCCAGATTTTACACTTCTTAAGCACCAAATAACAATGACTTCAACAAAATATTGGGTTTTAATAATAATAAGTTAATTTTATTTTTCCAGACATTAAAAATGAATAACATTTATTTGACTTTAACAAGGTTAACATTACATTCATTTCTTACCACTGAATTAACGATGATGTCACCCGGCAAATATTGGTCCGACGGCTACGCCGTGTCCCTGGCCAAAAATAGACGCGGTAGGATGGCATAAATCGTTAAAAATATGTAACACAGAATATTTCCTAAAAATGCATTCAGATATTTTGTACATCTCTACAGTTCTCTGGGGTTGCATGTATAATTGTTACCTTGACTTTTAGCTACGTGTAGTACAATATGTATACCCTGTTGTGAATCAGTTGTGAGAGGACGTCCACTAGTGACGTCCTTACACGTGCATTTATAGTCCATCACGACCCTCTATGAAATTCCTATGAAATATGCAAAAGCAATTGTGCTTACACCTTTGTTAATACTCCAATAATTAAATTAAGTGCCCTAAGTAGTTTTTAAGAGGTTGTGAGTAACGTCCACTGACGTCCTTTACACGTCTATAGTAGACTAAGACCAATTGTAAAAAATCAATAAATCTTTATGAAATATACAATCATTTATATTTACATCACGATCCTTTGTATTTATTTTAATGACTAATTGTATTCACAAAGTGCCCTGTGTGGTTAAGTGATTGTGAAGCCACTGGATTTTAGTCATTATTCGACCCGTTTTCCCTACATTACAAAACGATTTTATTTTATTTTTTAATGAAATTTATGCATATACATATGAAACAGATATATATCCGGTCACCATTTCAAGTCTGAGTTTTATGTGAATTTCCAAAACTCTGCTGCCAAGATGCAGAGGTGTAAAGAGTACCTAAAACCATACTTGAGTAAAAGTACAGATACCTTACAGTGAAAATTACTCCACTGCACGTTACAAGTCACCAATTACAAAACAACTTGAGTAAAAGTCTTCTAGTAACTGATTTTAACAGTACTTAAGTATTTTACTTATACTAAATATAAGCTCAAAGATGCACTAGTCAAAGAGACATGCCAGTGAAAACTGTAACGTTGTGGAGAAGCTGCGGAAAACAGGCAGAGACAAGGATCGATGTGCTGGTATTTAATGAAAAAATTAGAACAAACGATAAGGCAAAAACCAAAGGGAACAAAGAACAGAATGACTGGCAAACAGACAACCATTACATTCAACAACTCACAAGGAACTAAAGAAAAACTAGGGCTATATAAACACACAGGGGGCTAGCAAGATAACAAGACACACCTGGGGAGAATAATCAAGGGGAACCAATTAAACAAACGGACTACAAACTGACTACAAACACCACAGGAGACAGTAAGTGACATAAATGTCCAGGGCAAGGCACAGAGCATGAAACAAAAACAAGAATGAGTTGATTTGTGAGGAGAGCAATCACGTTTAGCTGCAACACTCATTTCACATGTAGTGGAGTAAAAAGTACAGATACTCATTCAGAAATGTAGTGAAGTAGAGAGTAAAAGTTGCTAATATCTTTGAGACTCAGTACAACTACAAAGTATCGAAAAAGATACTCAAGTACAGTATTTAATTACATTTACTCCAATACTTTACACCTCTGCCAAGATGTATATAGGTGCGTTTGACTTCATGCGGCACTGCACAGACCGATCGCAATCTGACTTGAAGCAGTGCATGCCGGTTAGAAATTTGCTCAGTTTCTCCAGAGCGACTGCAGGAGCGCTGATGACGACACAGCGGTTTCACGATTGGCCAGATTCACCACATGACAACAATGACGTGTGTTTCTAACATCTTCAATTCCAATACTGCTCACAAATCTGTATTTTTAGAACAAGCTTTTTTTATTGTAGTCGCAATGTTATATTGAGTGGCGTTTATCAAAAAAACACTGATAAAAGCATATATTCCCCCACTTTATTGGTATTTAAATAGTATGTTTATGTTAAACTTTATTCTTGCACAGATGGCGCTGTATCAAGCAGTATATAAAAACTGTTTCTGTTGCTCATGAAAACGTTTCTGAAACGTCTGTGTATTTGACAAATATTGCATTTAATTCACTTCATCTGTGATAGAGTTTGCAAACACCGCGCGAGTGTCACTAACGGGAGCAGAAATTGTCCGGCTTGACGTGTCTGTTTTTAACTCTGCCCCCGGCTGCAAGCGGCTACTCTCGTTGACCGCCGTCTGTAGCTGTAGGCTTGTTTGAGATGCGCCTCGCCTGCCTGAAATGTAGGCGAGAGTAGGCGGCTGCAGTGAGGGGAGGAGTGAAATAAACGCAGTCAAGATGGACAGTTCTGACCTCTCGAAGGGAACAGATACCAACGAGATCAAAGGCGGATATCCCGTTTTTCACACTTACAGGCTGTGTTGCTAATAAACATGATATAATTTCAGTTCTGATACTTTTATATGAAAATAAATATGATGAACACGACACTCAAAGTGCTTGCTATTTAATTCCATACGAAAGGTGTATTTATCCATTTTTACTTTAATACAAACACGTATTTTATATTTTTATAGAAATATGACAACAACATTATCTCACACAGAGATCGCACTGTCATAGTGTTTGGTAACATTCATGCATAATTTAAATACATAATCACATGAAATCAGAAAAAAATATATATATTTTAGAAGAGAACCACAGCATCACAGTTGTCTGAACCAATGAGCATTAATCTGTGTCGTCGGTCAGTCGTTTCCCATCATGCTTTTGGTCAGCGCAGTCGGTGGAGAGCAACTGCGCTGGACTGCACAATCCGACACAGCCGCCTCGCCATCGCGAGAGTTTCTTGACACACGTCAGCATGACATCAGAGCAAGTCGGACGTAACTCTGACACTTTTCTAACCGGCATGCATCTCGCGGTGATCACCGGTGATCGGTTCTGCGCAGATTTTGCTCATCTCAAACAAGCCTTGTGTTTCAAGTCGAACGCACCTTATATTTTTTTGCAATATTCCAGATAG